TGTCACGTATAAGATGCTTCGGTATCTTTGCATAAGTCTGACAGAGATAGAAGCAGTCAACGTTCGCGTGGCGACCCATTGCAAAGTACTCCCTTATCGCGTCTTGCTTGTCGCATGCCACGTCATCAAAGATAAAGATTGAATTCGGAAGCGCCTCGCTCGGTGGAATGATCTCGCTGTTATTGGAGAGCTACGTAGTGCGTAACCGCTCAGTAATCAAAATGTTTCTCATCGTGTCGAATGATTTATCCTCCAAAGAATTGGTATATATACCGAAAATTATTTTACTGCGAGAGTTTGAGAATTGTATAGATCTTCTGTGGAATAGACTACCTGAGCATATACGAGCCGATTCGGAGGTACAACGACACCGTCGGTGTCTGAAGCATTACAATTTGCCGAGTCATCAAACGCATATCAACGGTCCAGCACCGTTGATAAAGAATTGTAGCGAATGCCGTCGAGAGGCAGAGGCTTGTTAAATAAAGCGATAAACGCGCTTCCTTTCGAACTGCACATTCCCGGTTACCAGTTTTGTGGATCGGGGACGCGTTTGGAGAAACGATTATCTAGAGGCAACAGAGGTATTAACCAATTGGACACGGCGTGTCGCGAACACGATATAGCGTATTCGCACAACAACGGTCTCACTGAACGGCACGCGGCTGATAATATACTCGCTAAAAAGGCGCGGAAACACATTACCGCGAGAGATTAGTCTCTCACAGAGAGAGCCGCCGCCACAGCTGTTTGGGCAGCTATGAAGGCTAAAACGAAGATGGGTATGGGCTTGAAAACAAAGAAGCGAAAGAGTAAGAGGATACTTCCGATAGCGAAACGCGGCGGTATTCTGCCTGTTCTTCCGCTGCTGGGCGTCCTCGGGTCGTTGGTCGGTGGAGCGGCGGGAGTCGCCAAGGCTGTAAATGATAGCAGAGCAGCGGAGCGTCAGCTGGAAGAAATGCAACGTCATAATCGCGTCATGGAAGGTCACGGTGTTTATCTCGCTCCCTACAAGCGTGGACGAGAAGTAGTAAAGAGATAAAAAAAAACGTCGATGAGACGTTAAAAATACCAACAGGTGTAACTACCAACGTGCAACTGCTACAACTTGCAAAACGTATGCGCATTCCGTATTTCAGAGGTATCTTTATGCGTACGACATTACCGGTGGAAGGAGTACGTCGAAACGAGAGCGGTATCGTGAATCTAGACAACGCTGAGGGATCCGGTACGCATTGGGTAGCGTACGCGAAAAGGGGGAATCGTGTCATATATTTCGACAGTTTTGGTAACCTCCGGCCGCCGAAGGAACTCGAGCGATATCTAACAAACTGTGTAATCCAGTACAATCACATACCTTATCAACGTTACAATCAGAGCAATTGCGGACAGTTGTGTCTACAGTTTCTACGGACGAGTGATAAACAATTTAAAGACTGACATTGCGCGGTTTAACTCAGTATTCGTTCAAACATGTTGCTGACGTTTACGCTGACGGGCAAAAGTAGTGTTCTAGCCGTGAGCTATTTTCCGGCGGTAGATTTGAGCGATGATGATTACGAGCTCGGTCTGACTGACTTTGAAACATACTACACTCTACCGAATGTAAATTCGACAAACAACAAGTTTTATTTCGACAATGAGGAAATTGTGATTCCCGAAGGATCGTACGAACTGCGCGATATAGAGCGGTATTTGAAGCGTGAAATTTTACGTTCTCGTGGTGTAAAACGTAAGGAGGATGACGAGTATCCACTGGTAATTCGCGCCAACAACAATACGATGAAGAGTGAGATCAAATGCGCCTATTCGATAAATTTCACCAAACCTTACAACATTGGACAGCTGTTGGGATTTTCATCGAATCGCATGCTCGAACCGCAACAGTGGCATGAATCAAACGTGCCGATAAATATCATCAACGTAAACATTATTCGTATTGAGTGCAACGTGACCGCAGGTGCGTACAGCAACGACAAGTGCGTGCACACGATACACGAGTTTTCACCGATTGTCCCACCAGGATATAAGATATCGGAAAGGCCGACGCAAATCATTTACCTTCCGATCGTCGTACGGAGCATTACGCGATCTGACAATTCGCGTGGTGGATCAAGACGGCCGATTGCTTGAATTTCGTGGAGAGGAGATTACCGTTATATTGCATGTACGGAGACGACGGCGCTAACGTGAGATGCTTGTGCTGAATGAACCACCGGAACAGACTAGAGATTTTAACGTAGAGATTTCATGTAGAAAAAGACTCACTGCGTCCAACGTTGCATTTTTAAAGTCGTTGGGTTTTATCGTACGAAATGGCTGATATCTTGAACATTGTCGGTGAGCCGATCTTTGACGATCGCATCGTCAAGTTTGAATTTCATACGTACAATCCATACGCCAATACAACGTTTGGACATAGCGACGAGATACGAATACCTATACAGCAGCAGGATTTATACACGTTGCCATGCGAAAGTTTTCTCTACATTGAAGGAAGATTGACCGTGAAGAAGAACGATGAGACGCCAACAACGCTTGGAAATAATTGCATAGCGTTCATGTTTGATGAAATTCGATATGAACTCAACAGTGTGGAGATTGATCGTAACAGAAATGTTGGAATTACCAGTACTCTCAAGAACTATGTATCGTTGACATATGACAAGTCTTTGATTGCGCTAAACACTGGGTGGAATTCTAGATCCGACATAACGGAAGGTTACTTTAACTTTTGCGTACCGCTCAACATGCTGTTGGGCTTTTGCGAGGATTACAAACGCGTGATTGTTAACGCTCGCCATGAATTGATTTTGATACGAGCGCGCAACGATAACAATTGTATACTGGGAAATTCAGCGACGGAGCCGGAGGTTGAACTGATCAAAGTGCAATGGCGGATGCCTCATGTTATGCTAAACGAGATCACTAAACTATTAATGCTGCGAGCATTGTAAAGCGGTCGTTATCTCAATATGAGTTTTCGCTCATGGGATCTGTACGAGTATCCTCTGTTACAGAGTACGACGAAGCATACATGGGCTGTCAAAACGGCGACTCAACTCGAGAAGCCGCGTTACGTTATCTTTGCTCTTCAGACCGGTCGAAAGAATATCATGTCTCAAGATGCGAGCGTGTTTGACGATTGTAAATTGAGTAATGTGAAGCTTTATCTCAATTCAGAGTTTTATCCATACGGTGATTTGAATCTCGATTTCGACCAAAAGAGATACGCTCTCCTGTTTGATATGTACGCGCGTTTTCGTAAGGCATATTATGGAATCGACTGCTTCGAAACGCTGCTCAATGTACTCTCGTTTATCGAGAAAGGACCGTTTGCTGTCATTGACTGCTCGCGACAAAACGAATCCGTCAAGAGCGCTACCGTGGATGTACGAATAGAATTTGACTGCAAGGAGAATGTACCCGCCAATACTACCGCCTATTGCCTCATCATACACGATCGTGTTATCGAATACTGCCCGCTGTCCAACGTAGTGCGCAAGATTATGTAAATCGCACCGTCAGCAATTATCTTCAATTTAAGAGAGATTAACACTGATATGACTGCTGTTTCGAATAAATGCTCGTCATGATCGTACCAACGTTTGTGGATCTACAAGGATTCGTCGTAGACAAGAAATTTATCGTCAAGGAAGTAGCGGTGCTGAGAAGAGGAACTGTTATCACACACTACATTTTTTTATTTCCTATACCATGGAATTTACTGACAAGATCCGACAAATCTTGCGCTTTCTGGTTGAGTGCTTATCACCATGGTTTGCGATGGGAAAACGGGATGGTCCCGTACAGCATGGCGAAACGTCTAATCACAGAGGCTGTAACAGAAGACGATGAAGCTCTCGTATATGTAAAGGGGCTTGAAAAACGACAATGGCTATCCGATATACTCGATTGCGATAATGCGATCGTTGAAACTCTAGATGCACATTATGAAGATGTAGAACCCCTACGTAGCTTAGATGCATGTAATACAATACGGTGTGGAAGACACGCTAAGAATTGTGCTTTGCAAAATGTATTTAAAATATTCAACTGGTGGTCGCAACACCAGGAATAATTGTAAGATTTTTAAAATAAATGTAAGATTTTTTAAATAAATACGTTTTATTTCCGTATCACCCACATAATAGATATAAGTCAAAAGTAGACTGGTAACTGTATACAATGTACCGATAGCTGTTTGATATCTGTTTATAGCAGTTCGATAGCTGTTCGATAGCCGTTCGATAGCCGTTCGATAGCTGTTTACAGTGTACCGATAGCGGTTCGATAGCTGTTCAATAGCTGTCTGATAGCTGTTCAATAGCTGTTTACAGTGTCTTGATATCGGTTTGAAAGCCGTTCGATAGCTGTTTACAGTGTACCGATAGCTGTTTACAGTGTACCGATAGCGGTTCGATAGCTGTTCAATAGCTGTCTGATAACTGTTCAATAGCTGTTCAATAGCTGTTTACAGTGTACTGATATCGGTTTGAAAGCCGTTCGATAGCTGTTCAATAGCTTTTCAATAGCTGTTCAATAGCCCCGTTTCGATAGCTGTTTTAATAGCTGTTTAATATATGCATAAAATATGTGCTTCAAATGCTGCAATGGACAAAATGCTCAAGTTTCTTCGTTGAATCGTTGAGCGCGATGTCTCCTCGCGCGATGTCTTCTCGTATACTTTTTAGCTGAGGTATACTTTTGATTAAGATAATATATCTTTAACCGAGGCGTTGCACGTGGCATCTTGGGCGAAGGATGATATCATATTGTCACGTATATTGTTAATATAAAACTTCGCACAGCTCTCGCAATCAGTTGTCAGTCTGCTGTCAGTGAAGTGCTATGTTGAATTTTAGTTCCTGTTTTAATTTGAAGTTAATGACTATTAGAATCACGATATAGACGGTTTTCTTATTCAACAAAAATCAAATATATACCTATCACACTTTAAGTTCTAAAAGTGTACACTAGTTCAGCTGCAAAACCAAAGAATGGCTAATTTGAGTGAACTTTTGCACATTACATATGAATATCCAGTTCGGGCGGTAAGTTTTTTTTTTTTTTTTTTAACATATTTAATTTATTTGATATATTTAATTTATTTAATTTATTTATTATATTTAATTTATATAATATAGATTTAATGAACTTTTATATTTTATTTTTCAGTATCTCACGGTACATGATGAACCGGTCGCCGAGGTACGACTGCAGGACCAGCGTAGGGTGCGAACTACATATTTAATATATTCAATATATTTAATGTAGACTTAATTTATAATT